GCTAAATATATACGTTAGCGCCCACAACCTCGTACCATAGACGAGAAAGGATTACCCGAATGAGGATTGCCAGGTTCCTTGATATCTCCCATATTGACTTTGTCAATCCGCGACTTCCTGGCCCGAATTGTTGCTCGAAAGTGGCACGGGCATGGGATTGCGGGATCTTGAACGGTTCCTTAGCAAACATCCTGGAAAATCGGCATTATTTCCCGATGATTTCAACGATGAGGGTGTATACTCACACATAGAACAGGATCGCTCCGACCCCGAACGCCTCGCTGGACGCGTTGTAGTGATGGCTCAGGACCTCTGGTGGAGCCCAAGCAGCGGTTCCTTCCTGGGGCTGTAGGCAGAATTAGGTCGCGATGCCGAATCACGGTGAGCATTCGTACGTATGGACGCTGGTCATCTTTCGGCTTAAGGACGGACTTGCTGAAGTCGCATAATTTGACTGTGATCGCATCGAGAGATTTGTCGAATACAAGAACATTCTGTGTAATATCACCATGAGACGTTGCGAACAGCAGCAACGAAGACCAGGAACGTACCGCGGGCTTGACATCGCGATGGAATATGCCTCTGAAATGGATGTACTATGGAAAACGATTTAGCCCTTGCACCGGATTGGTGTGCGATAAATCTACCTCAAGGCCGTCGATGATCTGCTTCAGGACGAGGCGAGCGAACTTTGGGGCTATGGCCGATTTGTTGTCAGACACAATTACTTCTGCGCCTCTAGCACCACTTACAGAGCGATCCCTTGGTTATGACGTACTGTTTCAGATCACCGTGCGGCGCTGCGGGCGTGACCACACCTTGGGAATGGTTAGTCCCGTTCCCACACGTTGGGATTGATGTACTAACCAATCGGCATGGACACTTCGACTTTCCCGTTCTCTTCGGCTTCTTCGTCTTCTTCGTCTTCTTTGATATCCTCGGCATACCAGTGCAGAAAAGGTGTTATGTTCGGATGGCTGAGGCTCTTCCACACGCTCAGCTGCATGGCGGTCTGGTCAACGCAGGCGGGTCGCACGATAAGGTGTTTGACTGCCACGGCGCAAGACATGCTCGCTACCTGGCCAAACCGGATCGGCACAGACCCAACGACTGGAAGGACGGTAAGCAAGGAGCTCCATTCGAAACTGATACTACTGACTCCCTTGACCTCCATTCACAACCTTTGACTCGGTGATACCGTACTGAGAGGCGCGTGGTGGGGCCTCAACGTTGTCAAGGCTGCGATACATATATCCTGATATAGGGACGACCCATATGAGCCACCAGTCACAGTTTCAACAACAGCCGCGCACTTAGACCGTCAATGAATACGATGTCGTTTTCTGAGAGCGGGCACGGGAGATTGGGCTTTAACGGCATGCCGTTGACCTATACCATTGTTGAGACTCCGGCAGAAAACAAAGTAGGATTGCACGCACGCTTAGTCGGGCAGGCCTCGCGATCTGGGTGATCGTCATTATCGGCCGGCCTCCAATCGTGGTTTTCTCAACATCGGCAATAACAGGAGCTCGGGTTTCCACTGAACGGTAGCAAATTGTCAACATCTCGTTGCTCCCAGGACCGGATCTCACTCACCTGGACTCGGATCAGCACGAGGCCTTCGAAATTCACCACTGCGGTAGATGGACCATTTGGGCGAATCCGATGTGAACGTCACATCCGGGAAGCCTGCCACACAAGAGCGCAGGTAGGAATGGTTCCATTCCCGAAGAAGTGACTCTTTGTTGCGGAAGTAGTAAGGACTCTCGAGAAGCTCCGGCCGTTCCGGGGCGAGGTATGGTTCGGATGCCATGTTCGTAGCTGGGATGTTGGAGGCAATAGCAAACGAAAGACACAAACTCGCGCTCCTTTATAGGCCTGGCGACGTTGCATTGCCAATGGCCACACCTCTGTCGTGGCCTTGCTTCTAATTGTGCCCTCTTCCACAAGGCAATTACGGGTGATGTTATAAGTGGAGGTGGTGGTCGCATTGTCTAAGAAGCCGTGGGGCACGTGATGAATCCACTGCCAGAGGTTTCATACTGTGCGATAATCGCTGAACACTGTGGACTAAGTACTAGTGCATAACGACGAGCGATACCGTGTCAAGGCATTCTGTGCGGCCGCGTGATACCAGTACCGTGCACATACCATATTTCTATGCAGGCAGTCTGTCACCCTCTGGCCACTCGCTTTTCCCTCGGCCACTTAAAGTCAGGGCAGTGGCTGAGTCTTTTACGAGAGGGCGTTGGTGCAGGGCAGGGCAAATCCTGGCTACTACAGCACGGCTTACTCCGCGTCTCACGTAAGTTTTCGTCAGTGAATATACACACGTCGTTATTTGACAATAGTTTTGTTGCATGTTTTCCGCTGTGTAAGTATGAAAAGCCCTCGGGTCGCAGGTGCAACTCGACGGAGTTCAGGACGGAGGTGCAGGAGCCAGAATACATGATGATGTATGTTCTTCGACATTGACACGATTGTGTGCGAAGTCTATAATATTACATGACAATACCGCTCGCGACAGACAGAATACGATCAATCGTCGTAATCAATCCACGCCTGCAGCGGGAGGGGCACGCTGCGCGTCCCGTTTACGATGTTGGGATTGGCCTTGCTGTCCGAGGGCCTGACCTCCAGTTCTTCGACAGGTATCCACCGATAATAGTCGAGTACCAGATGTCGCCATCCTCTAATGTCTTCGTCCCATTCCACCATCTCGTTCCTTGCGGCGTTGACGAAGACGGGAGACCCATACTCAAATCCCTCGTTGCGGGTCGACTTCACGGCAACAACCCACAATGGTAACGACCGCATGGCCCTGATGAGGCAATTCTCGCATCGCCCCAGCTCTACGTGCCACCCCTCCAATGCGTCAAGGACCACTGGAGTGATGTTTCGAAATTGAGTTCTAGGCTGCTTTGCAAAGACTCTGCGACGTCGCGGACGGCGTGATACCGGCAGCGTTGGCTCGAGGGCATGGCCTATACTGCGGGTGTCATCGAAAAGCTTATTTTCGACGATGCTCTCGCGCTTCAGCCATTTGATCTCATTCGGGTCATCGTCTTCTTCCAACGGGTATTCGGTCCAGTCTCGAAACGGTAGACCCTGCGAATCGACGCCTACGCGAGGTCTGGGCCGCAGGAACGTCGTTTTGGCAATGCGTCTCCGTTGAAGGGGGGTCGGTTGGCATGTGCAACCATCGTTGACGCCTAGGTTCAAAAGAGCCTTGGCCAAAGCACGGCGATCTGAAGCGGAGTAAGACCCGCAGGTATTCGCCGAGCCAACTGACTGCGTCGGTTTCAAGGCAGCGACGACGGTCTGAATATCGGGTGGCTGCTTGATCGCGGATTGTTCGGGTCTGAGATCTTGCGGCGAGTCACCACCGGTATGGTTGCTGATATCATAAGCATCAGTCGGTGGAAAACAGAGGGTGGAATGGTGGACCCACATTGTTGCACTGACAGTATCGCTCCTCGAGACCTCCTCGCGTGAGGATGCAGTCGGGTGAGAGATGCTGATCATATTGATGTCCTGTACAAGGTTCTTAACACTGGCAGCAGCTAGCGATATCGCCTCATGCGTCTCCGCGACGAGTCTCCGGGCGTCTTCGGCCTCGCACCGCAGCTTGTGCACTTCCGCCGCCATACGTCTAGTACGCTTTCTCCTTGGCCCCGATGATGGGCGCGATACTGTCGTCTTCACTGGCGGCACATCGTCCCCGCGACGACGCTTGCGATTTTCTTTGGCGACTTCGGGAGATCGAGGGCGTTTCTGAGCTCGCGCAGCACGTAGCGGGTTTCTTCGAATAGCTGGCGCGGCGTCGGTCGGTGCAGCAGATGCACGGGTTTGCGGCTCTAAGTGGCGGTGAACACCCCGTTCACTTGAAGTAAAAACATTGGCGACATGCTCACCAGTAGTATTAATCGGTTTTAGCTCCCTCCTAAGGCTAGTGACTGCATCGCACCAGCCCGCATGGGCGGATGCGCGACGTTCGGGTGAACGAGCTGCGCTCGATGTGGTAGTGTGATGTTGTGGCCCCATCGCGGACATAAGTCGTAGACACTGTCTTGGGCTGGGTATGGCAAACGGTCACTCTAGCACAGTTCAGAGAGCACAATTTAACTGCAATTGAGGTAGATACCGTTGTTGTGCAGAGAGTCAAAGTCAGACACCCAGGTATGTTCATTGAATCGCACGTGACTACGGTACATATACAGTAGGCGGCGCCGAAGCCGTCGGGTTGCAATATCTCTCAGCCTTCAAGCGCATGCATCATCTCTGTGAAGGAACGGAAACTGCACTGCGTCGCATCGCGATATCTCGGCTTGCGACTACTTTGTGGCACTATCACTAGCTAAGTCCGAAAAACTCCAAGACGTTCTCCGCATGCTCTGGTACGGTGTGCCCTACACCCTGCGCCAAAATCGCCTCGAAGTTCGGACCGAACGTCGCAAAAGAGTACCCCGCCTGCGGATCGTTGGTGATATTCGAGATCGGCGTCGCCGAATAGCCGAAGACGTTCGTCCACTGCTTGATCTCCTCGAAGAAGTTCTGCGGGAACAACGTAGTATCCGCTGTGCCGTGCCAGACCTGCACCTTCGGGCGCTGGCCGGCGAAGCCCGGGAAGCCGCTACGGACGAGATCACCCTGTTCCCAACGACGGAAATCAGTCTGGTAGGCTGACTGGAAGAAGAGGGAAGGATGGGTTACCCATTGCTGCGGCGTCATGATCCGCTCTCCTAGAGCGCACTGCTCGTTCCACGCGTCTGGACCCTCGAAGCACCCGAATGCGACTCCTGAGAATCCAGCGCCGCCTTTGAACAGGTCCGGGTACGCGCCCATCAGCACCTAGCAGGACCGTGCTCAATCACCCTTGCCTATTCTTGCAGCGTATAGAAGGATGAGTTCGTACGCTGGTCATCATGGCTCCCGAGCTTGTTCCCGTCGCAAACACTCGGTTGGCGTCCACGCCCCAGTTGTCGATCGCGAACCGGGTCATAGACGCGATCCCGAGCGAGTCGCCTCCGGCATTGTGCGTCAGCGTTGCGTTCGTATGGACGTCCCAGCACCCGCCGGAACCGTCGGGTGACTGCGGATACTACACCATAAAAAAAGATGCTCTCAGTGGTCGTAAAGGGCGTTCAATCGGAAAATTTATGCGCACGATGACAATGAACCCCAGCTGGTCTGCCAGATCCGCATACTGCGTTCCCGTAAAGTAAGCCTCTGCCGTGCCTGTGCAGAAATGCATCGCGACCAGAAGCGAGGGCGGATTGGCCAACTGCGCCGGCTTGTAGAAAAACCTTCATGGCCATACATGCGTCGGGCAAACGCAAGCTCGAGTGAGTCTACAATGCGTCGTTCTTGGAAAATACATACATGAACGTGTTTGTCGGGTTAGGCCCGAAGTCTCCAGTCATCTGTTGCAAGGTGCCCTGGGCGGCATGAGCCACGGCAGCGAGTGCACCAACGAGGATTGTGTTGATCAGCATCGTTAGTAGCGCCTCGTTCCTGTAACACATAGCGAGTCGTTTTATAGCGTCACAAAAAGAGTGCTCCAACGTTTTACTCAGGGTCTATCGATGCCACATAACCATCCGCAGTCAAGAAACGGCCTGGTGCATGTCATACTATATGGCGCCGAATAAAAATATACCAGGTATGTGAATAAACCGCCTGTTGTCGCGTGGTGATTATGAAGCTAGGAATAGTATGTATTGCGCCTCGGGAATCCTCAAACAGCTCTTTGGCCAGCTGATCAGCCCGAAGGTCAATCGATTGGCGGACATAGCCAAGCGTTCCTAACATGACATAGCAGCGTATAAAAATTGATACAAGTACAAACGATCAAGTCGAAATCACTGTGCAGTCCAACATGGTCTGTGAGATGCTCCGGCAACCGTCCAAAATGATCACCATGGAACACCCATTTGGTCGCTTCACTCCCGCAGCTGTGAAACGACGTGTCTTTTGAAGGCTTCATACGCTTCCAGTACAAGACGTCTCTGATCCAACGACATCATCGTATCGTCGATGCATGTCGCAAAAACATTCGTGTTATTGCGCTTGGTGACCTGAGGCATATATACCTGAACCACCGTCTGATGCGGTGCCGGCATGCCCTGTGCCACCGCCCGCGCCAGCTCCGCGGTCACGGTAAACTTGTAGAAGGTCGGCAACGTGCCTGCGCACAAGATGCCGGCGTACGTCCGTGACGGCACGTCGTCTTGCAGCGGACCGGACGAAGTCGGCACCGCAGCGGCGACGAACTCGAGTGCGGTGCTCGTCTGGTAGGCGCCGATCGCGGTCGCGACGAGCATCGCCTGCGAGTGGCTCGTCTGCACGCGCAGGCCGGGGTTCGCGGCCGACATCGCCAGCGGGTGCACGAGAAGCGGGTAATCGCAGTTGCCGGCGTCGACGGCGCACGCGACCGAGGAGGTGAAGTTGGACCCGGCGACCGTGACCGGGATCGGCCGCCACGGGAGCACGATCGCGCCGGGATCGACGGCCTCGGGGAAGCCCATGGTGTCGAGCAGACGGATGAGGAAGTCGTCGACGGCGACGTAATCCGTGAGGGGCATGCGCGCCTTCTCCATGTGGCGCAGTAGCCGCTTGCTGGCCGGGTCGAAGGCCGAGCGCGAGGACGCTGCGGTGAGGACCTCGGAGGGCACGGATGGCGTGAGGTCGGGATCGACGAGGGCGCTAAAAAAGGCGTCCGCCTTCTCCTCGCGCACGACGATGTTGTAGAGCGCGAGGTCGCCGGGGCCCCAGTCCGCGGGCGCCTTGGGAGTTCTGTACACGTTCGGGCTCGGGGGACGCCAGGAGATCCGCGACGCAGGCCGGGTAGACTGCGCCCGAGTGGATGGAACGTAGACAATTTGCGGTCGTTTCGGAGAAGTCGCCTCGGTGATGAGCGGCAGCGGAGGCCCGACATCGGGTGAGCGCCATCGTTCGAAGTTGAACGGCTCGTAGGCATGCTGCGTGGCGGATGATGCAGGGCTCGCGCTCCCGGAGCTCGACAGCGACCTATCAGTCGGGGTACGAATAACCGAAGGAGACGGTGGTCCTATGTAAGTTGGGCGGTACGATCCAATGGTGACGGAGGGTTTCGAGGTCATATCACCAACCCTGGGATATATCTCTGGGGTAGACGATGGCGAGGACAGTCTCATGGGTGGAAGCGATTCCAGGGAGTAATGTGTGCTACCATGGCCTTATGTAGACCCAACACAGCGCTTTGAAGCTATACAATCGCAGTGATCGAACCGATTGTTCCGTCGTTGTCGGTGCCAAAGCCATTAAACGTGGGACAACGCGGGACAAATACGAACAAAGAAGGTGCCACGTGGATACTACCACGCCGTCCTCGCGTTTTATTGCTTTAGTATACCGTTAATCAATCATCGCGACTTATTCACGTTGCATGCGCCGTCCGAACCACTGATACCTTCTACAAGCCCATGTCCATCGTCTGCCGCCTAATCGTGCCAGGCTTCTGAGCAAATACGAATCATGCAATTCAGGAACTATCTGCCAGAAAGTAGCCTCTTTCTCTGTTCATTCTGATGGCGGAGAGGAGAAACGACGTGTCGTCTGAAGAGCTCGTACGCTTCCACTATGAGCCTCCTTCTTCCCAACAGCCCAATATTGTCTTCACACCGGGAGGCTACGGTTTCGAGGATGTTCGTTTTCGTCACCGGAGGTGCGTAAACTTGAACTACCGTTGGATGATCTATCATTGATCCCTCGGCAACCGCCCGAGCCAGCTGTGTTGTGATGGTGAATTTGAAGAAGACGGGCAAAGTGCCGGTGACCATGATGGCCGCATACGTGCGCGGAGCATGATCGTGCCGCAGGTATTCAGAATTAAGGAGGAGTACGCTGGATCTATGGGCAAGATCTGCCTGGTATTGATAGTCGGCGATGGCCATGGCTACAATCTTCGCGTGCGGAACGGGCGGGTGCCGAGGGTCGACGTCGCCAACGGGCATCGTCCTTGAGTGCACTATGACGGGATAGCGTCCCTCGCCAGCGTCTATAGACATGGCGCAGCTTCCAGTGAAGCGCTGCCCATACATCGTCAACGGATATTCATGTTCGCATACAAAGACAGCGTCGTCGCCCACGGCCTGTGGATAGCCCATGGCTTCGAGGAGGCGCATGAGGAACATCACGCAAGCGCCGTCATCGATGTTCACCGATCGAACGAACTCCATGTATCGGAGCAGGCGCTTGCTCTCGGGATCCGCGGCTTCGCGGGAGGTTTCGGCGGTGAGAAACTCCCGCGGTACGCTGGAAGACGGTGCGAGGTCCACATCAGGGCCGTAGAAGGCAGTGGCGTCCTGCTCTACGAACTGGATATTGAACGCTGCGAGATCGTCCACCCCCCATTCTCGCGGCGCTTTGGGTCCTACCTGAGGGAAGAGCGAGTAGGAGCGGGGTTCCGGGTCGGGCATGATCGCGATGGTTGACAACATGGGGGAGATGCTGCGCTCGGATGGGGCTGGGTCATTGGACATCGGTGACAGCACGAGTATGGCTGGCTCCGGACGAGGGGAAGCGCCTCGCTCGCATTGCTCCGGGCTGCTCCTTCCAGTATCTTGCACTCGTAATGGGGTCGGAACGGATGGTGGTCGAATGATCGTTATCTGACCCGGCTCAGGACATGGCTGCCTATCAGGAACTCGGATGACGGTGGGAGGAGCTGACGGCGCATATGCGTGGGAGGAGTCCATGTCCGAATCTGTTCTCTCCGAGGCAGACGAGAGAAAGGTCATGGATACGAAGATACGGGCAATGAGCTCATGAATGCACTGTTTATATCTCCAGGATATCAGGCGTCACCGGGCTATATATATATCTCGCGATGATAGATCCGTTCCCATCAGCTGCTTCAGCTTCTTCGGCGTCAAAGATATCAACCTGAGTAAATTTCAGGTAAAATCTGACCCACATGTTATCGCAAAGCTATGTTTGTCTGCGTGCAATTAAGCGGTCTGAGTGGCTTGAGGCGCGAAGACCAGACATCATACCCACTGAGGGCCTGAAGGGATGCGCAAACTTGGGCAAATATCCTGGCTTGATGGTGGTTACACGATATCGGGCAGGCGAGGGTAAAGCTGCAGGGCCGCAGCAAACACCTTGACTTCACCTGAGACGAACGTCAGCCGTAGTTCACAGGTTGACAGATGGATTCAGGATAAAAAGCCGTCTCGACGGTACCCCCTGCAGCAGTCATGCGTCTCATTCCAGCGCTCATCTTTACTCTCGGGGTTTTCGCTCTCGCTATTGTGGCAGAACCGCTCGACGACCACGCCAGGCACGACTCCGGCGACTGGCTGCCTAGCAACTGCTGCGGGCAAGGGAGCGAATGCGACCCTACGGGACAGTGCATTTGCTGTTTCGGAGTCACTTTCGATGATGGTCAATGTTTCTGCTCGTAAAACGTGAGTCATCCATGATATTGCATACGAGATAACAGTTTACGTACAGTATCAGGTGGTGGAACGGGAATCCGAAGGCATATGATGCCAGGAGGAACGTCACGTCGATCGTCAGCACGTCGGTTTCCGAGTCACGGAGAGAGACGTAACGTTCTACACCTCGTCTGCAGCTTATGTTGAACATCGCACACAGGGAAAGCATGTCGAGTAGCATTGATTGGAAAAGCAGAACACGTATACTATACATCTATGGAGATACTTGACAAATTAAGCTCGAGGCTCTCAGAGATACTTCCAGGAACGACTCACATTCGTTCCTCTCGTGATTTGATGACAAAGCCACAACCTCAAATGGCGTCGTTCTCCACAAGCTTGCCGCATATGATGTACTTGTTGGCGAAGTGATCGTACCAGCCTGCGGTATATGTCTGAGTATACAAGTGTGAGGTACCAAGCGTGTCAATCGCACCTTTCATGTTCTCTCTGTCCGAGGTCGCACGACGGAGTCAGTGATGATGACGAAGAATAGTACTATATGAGCAAGGGCGCACATTTCGTCAGGCTTAAGATCGTCGAGCTTATCCAAGGGTTGGTCGATGGGCGTCAACATTTCTAGGAGTTGAAGACGGGTTAGTTGCTTCGTCAGCTGTGCAGAGGAGACGCCGACTCACCGACATCGAACGACTGCTTTGCCATTCCGCGAGAGGCATCCCTACCAGCAAAGTTTCCGTACATGCCATCTGTTACAAGGGTGGCGTGAGTCATCGACATGCGGACATCATGCATCCAGTGCTTACTTGGCCCATAGAAGTTTCGTCCAGCAGTCACGTCGAAAACTGTTCCTTGAATCGCGAGCAGGATGCGGCCTCCATTCTCGCCGTTGAACGGAGCGAGTGTCTTCGGTGTGTAGATTTGATAGACGACGGTGGGCGGATGAGTCTTCGGTAGCCAGGAGTAGCCTTGCCTGAACTCGTTCGGGACCTTGGAAGGCTTGGACGTCGACGGCAGCAGAATCTTCTGTACAGAGTAAAGGATGTAAAGTAGAAGAGCAGTGTTGACAGGTGCGCCCAGGTTGAATGAGGGTGCCATGGTTGGAACGCTTGGTGTAACGGTTAGGATAGAGTAGCTGTTGGGCTCGTAACCCGTCATCCCATTCCCGCGCCCAGTGGGCTGCGGCAAAACACACGTGGCTAGGCGGTACGCGGCATTTGCCGACCGGCAAAGCTCTCCAGCAACGTAGAGATCCATAGGTAAGTGAGACGATATGCTGAATGATATGTGGGGACGCGACGTAGAGGAGTACAAACGAGCCCTCCTACAGTTCACTCAGGTCCAAATCTACGACTTGTACCTGCGTACCGTTGACGAGGTATAAGCTCAGCACTCCGTCTCCTCCATGACTGGTATCTACCCTATACCGATCGAATAGCGGCTCTCCAACGCAACCCGAGGTCTCTTCCCATACAATCTCCCAGTCGCGGAAGTGACCGGGAGCGGTGGAGCGCAAGATAGAGAGACCCGTGGCATTCACGGCGTTGGAGGGCAGGATCAGGAGGATGGACGACGACGCCGGATGGGCGACGATCTTTCCCCGTTTACCGATGACAGTTGGCGTGCCGGTGATGTTGTTGATGCTGGGCAGGTCTTCGGGGAGCGGAAGAGGCGTGCGGGTCCAATGCCAAGCCGTACCTAAGATATGCTAGTTTAGCAGAGATAGCCTATGGTTCGTGGTTCCGTGTACGTACTTTTCCAATAGTGATACCTGTGTTGCGCAGTGCCATCAGAAGGGATTACGTGTAAGGTGAAATGAGACTTGCCATCTTTCAGTACCAGTAGTGTTCTCTCGATTCAGAACATGAACACGCCCCTCGCCGTCAATGGTCTGAGCTTCCTGATTCAATATACCCCTGCCGCAATTCTTGGTCAGTTTGACATCGCAAGGGCGGCGCGATTCAAACCCACCCATATTTAGGAACACCGAAGATAGTTATGCCGGCCGACGCGGGAACAATGGGTTCCTGTGCAGCCATGTTCGCAATGGTCTGGTTCCAATTGTTGAGCCAGGTCGACCCAAGGTCAGGACTGAAGGAGTAGTCCATGTCGTGGTTCTGGTGGACAGAGTCAACTGAATTCTCGTTGAGGCAAAAGCGGGCACTGACATTTTCAGGGCCGTTTGGTCCGGCTTGAACGGCGACATCCTGACCAGTGTCGTTCACATAGTCGCGGTAGGTCCTACATAAACGCCTTGAGTACTGCGAGCGTCGTGATGGGCAGGTAAGCACTTGCCAGGTAGCATGGAGTTGCCCTTTGCCGTCAAAGTCCAACCCGTTGATATAGGCGTTGTCTGGTCAATTCATTGTCAACCCTTGAAGTACTCACGTAGGATTGTAGACATCTCACTATTGACGCCCTCAAGGTAGCGCCCGATCTGAGTCCAGTTGCTTCCGGGCGTGTAACGGTAGAGCCAGTCGTCGCCTAATCCTGACCTCCCGACGCGGAACTCCATGACCAGGTCGGAACCTTCGTTAGTCAGCCCGTGTACAGATCATGAACAAGTGTCATCCGTACCGCTGGCTGAGTTCACGGTCGAAGGTATCATCAGGAAGCGGGGATAGGTAACGTTGATGAAGTAGATCGAGTTATCGAGATCTTCAAGACCGGGAAGGTGATCCTGTCGAACAAGGATGATCACTCTTCCTCATAGGGAACCTCTGATAATACTTACAAGAGTAGGCCCGAAAAGCGAAGAATCCCAGTCAAAATTCGTGGGATCCGTGGCTACCCCAGCAACGGAAACACGATAGTTCATGTTATTGTCGTGTTGATCGTATCCGAGGTGGATGGTACCGTCCCCTTTGGATATCCCTATGGAGATGCTATAACGTGGGGACCGAGCTGTGGTTAGCGACGTGAAATACATAAGCGAGCGAAGGAGCGCACATATCATGACCATCATCTTCAGTCTGACTATAGTCGTCCAAAGTAAGCGTGTCCCAGTCTCCTGCAGGGAGCAGTCTCCTCGAAACCGCTGGATGGCGTACGGACGAGTTGGCGGCATCCGTAAGGTAATGGACAGCATACTGCCACCCTGATCGCGAGCGCGCGTCAGTGCGACAACAATTGAGAATAAAGCAACGCCCGGTCATACCTTGGAACGTGACTAGCGCGTCTTGCTGGAACGACTCCCCGTTCAGCCTATTGACCGTCGGAGGATCTGGACCCAAAGTGGTGATATTCAAGACCTTCACTCCGGCCCCGGAGCACGCGAGCGGCACGGCGAGCAGCCACAGCAGCATTGCACGTAACATAGTATCGACAACCTTGCGTCCTCTCCAAAATATTCCACGAGGCAATACAAACGGCTGTATGTCGGGCGAATCATCCCGCGGGTGCAGTCCTGCATGCGCTTTATACACTGAGTCGCTGGGAGGGTATACAGGGCATTTACACGTCACGAGAGCAAGGCACGCAATACTGAAGCATATCAGGAGGTCAGACCGAAGTCATGCCATCAGATTCTGTACGAAGCACAGTCGAGTTGAAGGTACTCCGGGTTGGCGAGACGCAAGGAGGAACGGGCCGCTGGGACCGGCTTGGTCAGTCACCTGATCGTGCGAATTTTCGACCCTGCAGTGCTCCCGCCCGGCTCAACGTTTTCTTCCGACTTCATCGATGGCAACATGTCAGTCTTCTTCCTCGGAACTCTTCGCTCCCGGCTCAATTCTGATTCTATGATAGGTGTCTCGCTATGTATACGGCAACACATACTGCAGGCGAAGCGCATCACTGAGTCACTATTCTGATCGCGCGATTCATTGCCTACCGACCCGCGAGCTCTTCCCGACCGTCCGCGCTCCATATTCATGACCCTGATCGCACCAATGGCGATTAGACAGCAGCGATGAAGGCTGCTGGACAGCTTGACTCGGGGAAACGCCGCCCGCAGCATTGATGAAGCTTATGAGGAATCTCCGAGAGCGATTTTCGCGGCAGGAATATATAAAGTCGTCAACGAACACAGCTCGCACTCTGTCATCTTCATCGCTCACCTCTCAGATGGAAACTCTGCCAACAGAACTTCACTCCTCCATCCTGTCGTTAGCGTGTGACATGGATGAACGCTCCGCGTTTAACCTGTTACTGGCTTCGAAGTACATACACTCGGTCGCTCTGCCATTCCGGTTCTATCATGTTCGCGTCTCCGAGCCATCTAGGTTCGCTCTTGCTTTCTGCGCACTGGAACAGCAGCCCGCGCCTACCCGAGTAATTCGTCACCTCACTATTGGCGACGGCTCGACCAACTCCCATACGCAGCGACGATCCGGCCGAGGCGTCTATAGCTCCATCGGGCGACTGCTTGAACTGGCATCGCCCACCCTTGACAGCCTGGATGTCTCCCTATATCACATCAGTACCGTCGATCAGCTCCACGTTATTTCAATGTCTTTCCCTCGTCTCCGCCAACTCACCTTGTTCTGTCGACGACTCAACGGTCGCGCCATCAAGCTTCCAACCATGCCCCAACTCGAGTCCCTTCACGTCATCGGCGATAGTCTCCTCATCGAAGAGATACCACCCATCGCGCCACACCTCCGAACCCTGCACCTGCAACGCTATCCCATCCCCAAGTGGTTCCTGGAACACCTGGAGACCATCCGCGATTCAACCGCGGGTCTTCCTCGCAAGAATCCCATCCCGATCCCAGGAGGATTCATACCGCATTCAGCTCCTTCGAACGATGATCTCCGCCGCGTCGATCTCATGATCGCCTGCCTTGACAGGTTCACTGTGGAGCTCGGTAGACCCTGGTGTATGGAAGCGCGTTATGCCCGCTTGGACGTCGAGCGCCGAAGCTTCCTCGATGCAACGCGCGATGCCTTAACATCACTTGCAACCCGTTTACCGGTCCTCGTGTTTCGAGAGGAGGCGTTGGAGGAAAGGTCCACATGCGGAAGCTAGACTTTCTCTCACGTACCTTGAATTCACGACACGACAGCTCGACGAGAATCGCGCGGGCATTGGACATGGGATCTTTGGGGCTTTCTTAAGTGCTTCGAGACGGATGCCACCAATGACAATGTACTTTCGCAGAGGGATTTCACATAAATTTCCCCATACGCGCGTTCCTTCTGGACGACCTATGCGTCCACTGCCATACTAAATCCAGTAGCTGGCTACTGCCATCGGATAGGCTACAACTCGGTCTTCGATAGGATAAATATGATGATATCGTCACAAGGACTCGTGGCAGCGATGTCCTGAGTCTAGTCCAAACGTGCCGGCTCTAGCATATAAATTATTGAAAGATCTCCCGTGTGCTCTCAATGAGGTCGCGGTAGAGGCTTAGGCTTGGGCTTAACGACGGAAGGTTGGTTTGTCGGGCCGACTCTCCTCGGCTATGATGCATGTCCATCGTGAGCAGTGGACTGGCGACAATGTGCACGATGCACGACCTCTCACCGTGAGTGTATACCCGCCACCAATCACTGAATAATAGCTGGTTCTGAACTGTGATTCATCTTTAGTGGGGCTTTGACATGTCAGAACGGCAGGACAGATCAAGGCGTATGACTTCACTCACGTTGCAACCACTCCATACGTTTGCTCACGTGCAAAGCAGGCAATCTCGAGCATCGTGAAGTGTGAACACGTCACGAGGAAGCAATATGCCCAGGTAATGGATGCAGCGTCGACGACGTGCGGTGCCAATGGACAATACTACGTGAGGCGCGAATGCGACACGGGGAAACAACAGCCTAAGTGCTGCGTTCAATGTCGACGACGTTGGTACCAATGAACACCACTGGGATGGAGTGAACGATTGTCCAGACCGCTTGTGCATTTATCTACAGCGTCAATATTGGGTATCGGGGGCCCCGACCCATGCGACGTGCCCATAAATGATGCAGCACGCACAGATATATTCACATTGCCGCCGAACATGTACTTCGCAGCAGCTCGTATGAGTACATCTTTCTCAACTACAAGTGATCACGCCGAGGCGCGTTTCAACGATAGAGAGAGCTCTCGATATTCCACTCCGTGCAATGACGAACGCAGCTGAGCGTTGAAACGTGGGTCGAACGCTGCGGCAGTGTCGAACTGATTAGGTCACAGCTTTCGTGACTCTGTAATTTTTGGTATTGCCACTAATATTACATCGTCAGGGCTGCTCAGTAGAGCTCTTATTCGCTGCGTACCTGGTCGGAACACGATGTCCCGGTGGTTGTCATTCAGTGTATCAATTGCTTCGCGTTAGCATCGCCACAAAGCCGGTTCGGTGCCTGAGATGGAAGTGCGTTATAGCCGTCAGCAATCAAAAGCAATTTGAAGAGCGTTATTGCCAGATCAATCTCAGGCTCATCCTTGGCCGGTGTCTGTGATGTGTCAGATCCCGACCGCTCAATAGTTCCGATACGCGCGTGTGAGCTCGGTCTTCTTGCACTGGACAATGATATATCACTCGGCGATGGTGACAGGCTTCCACCGCGAGCTATCCGATAAGTCTTCCGGCTTCATGTGGAGGCCTATTCTCTGAGCGCCCAGCAGCCAGCTCCCGATAGCCGAAGATGAACTATACTCGCCCGCCACCTTCCATCCAGAATGCTCAACACGCAGACCGATGATCGATGAGCGGTTGAAGCGATGGTGAAGAACCAGCGCCCTTGCAGCTGCGTTCTCAACCGGATCATGTACCATGTGCACTGAAAAAGATAAACATCATCGTTGGCCGCAATCTCGTGATATGCGCAGTGAACCCACCGTTTCTCGACAGGAAAAGCAAGCACAGATGGATTGTTATCACGCCTGAGTTTGTAATAAATCGCTGAACAACGATCATCTCATGCTGCTGTCAGGAGAGCACGGCAAGTGAGGTACGTGAAGCCAACTGTGGCAGTTCTCCTAAATGTGCTGGACGCTGCTTTGAAGACGATTCGTTGATGGTTTGAACATTCGAAATGCGCATTATCTTGTCGCTGCCATATAGATTTCTAGGCGTGAGCATCATCAATGGTGTGCAATTCAATACATCGGGATATAAATATTCTTTAGTCCTTCGATGGCGTTTAGATGGTCTTTGATGGGCGGGCAACGTGTTGGCGTGCACAAAACTTTACCCTGAGTTCGCGCGGCTCACTCAGGGCCAGATACTAGACTCTCCTGTCGACGCATATAGCAATAAGCATTCGCCAAATTGATGTGGAACCGAGAAGAGCACGCACCCGCAACATAAGCATCCAGTTATGCAATCCGCGATTCCCGCGAAACATCCCGTAATCGCTGATGCTCGCGTCAGCGGTGCGCCAATAGACGACAAGCCATTTGGACATGCGTACCAGATATGATACATTCAATAGCATCCGCGATGCACGACACAATCGCCATGATGGCGTCGCCGATGCAGGTAACGATTCCTGCTAAGCACGAGAAGATCACGCTGTCATGCCACTGAGCGAATCCGACAAGAGGCTCGAGGATTGAGTGGGCTACGCACCCCATGGCGATACGACCAGTGTGGATATCGAGCGTGCATCCTTGTGAGTCTTGCTTCAAATACGGATTCGCAGCTGAGCATGACGTATGCGAGGGAGGATAGGGCCCGAAGCATGGATATGCAGCTAGAGGTAATGACCACGAGTTTATCAGTGATGTCATGAACTCACACGACGGCGGGGTTCCGGCCGTCGTAGGCTTTGGCACATACGCACGTTGAACCTTTGCGCACAGCGACGAGTTGATGCGGGGTGTATATGTTGTAGGCCTTCCTTTCAGGGTGCTGCTGAGCATCTGTAAGCTTCCGGAATCCAGATGTGAGTGGAAATGAGATTCCCTCACCAATGTTCGCCGCATATCCCTAAATCAGCCCTCTCAACGTACCCTTGCGCATAGATCTCAGGTTCGCTCGTGAATGGGCGGCAACTGCTTTGCGCACTGTGCCACGTCTTCACGTTGCCCTTCTAACGCCAGAGTTCTGATAGGCATACGACGACCGTCGCTCAGAGTCATACAGGCAGATCAAACGTGTTGCGAAAATGTGCACCAAGTGCTGTGGTAGGTAGGCAAATGCCGCCCTTGCGCTTGCTCATCGAACCGAGAGAGCCGACGGAGCAAAGCAGAAGACTCCAGCGGCGCAGAACCTCCCAAAAAGGACAGGTGGCGAACAGCCACCCCGCCCGTTACCCTTCGAGAACGGGTGCCAGGCCTTGCAGAATAGGCCGAGTGCTGATTGTATCCGATGCTTCGACAGTTGCATGCCAACACGCTCGACGGAGACACGACACCCTCAGCTTGCTATCGTATCCTCATTGGGTATATATGAGATTTCCGAACATCTATACAAGAAAGAAAAAACGTGACCTCATCGAGATCTTCCAATCTTCTCATTACCTAGAACAAACACAGAGTAACCGGATTATTGATGGCCAAAAACGGGAAACTTGCTATACGACGACGTTCACGATGGATAGGCGCAGGTTTCAACAGCGATCCTGCCACGACCTGTCACGCCTGCGGGTAATAAGCCCAAATACGAGCTTCGTACGACATGCCCCCACGCCGAGAGCGAGCACGTATTCGTTGAGACGCGGCGCGCAATGCTCACATTACTCCGGCGTGGCAAGAACCGGGCATTGGATCAAACTCGCCGAATGGATCGGGCACTTACACCTGGTGCTTGCATTGACGAGCACTTACAACACTATGGACTTCGCACGTGGTTTCAGGTAAACGGTGGAGATAGGAAAAAAATGCACCATTCGTTTTCGCGACTGGTGGATGACTTGCGGGGTACGGCTAACAACGTTTCGTACCGCGCGAAAGCTCAGAGCCTCCTCATGGCAATGATTCATTCCAAATCAATGTTGACGGGAGAGCTCTCGACCCTTTATCTGTGACTCCGTGAAACTGAAAAAGGGGCCCGACCAGAAACTCCTGATGATATGACAATGCCTCGTCTGTTTTTTTTTCTCGCACAGGACCCTTCACGCGGTCTCAAACATCAAGGGACATTGTTTTGCCAATTTCGTGAAGCATGGAAGTGGGCCTCGAGCTCGAGGTCTGCTCCAATGAGGGGATCTTGCGTAGACTCTAGCTCGATGCGGACGACCAGACAGGCTTCCCGCGCCCAGCCCAGCCTTGCCCGATTTCTGCTTCCGGCATCGTCATTTTGGACGCGTAGGAACTTTCGGCTTTCCCGCTGAAGGACTCGTCGCCGGCCCTACATTGTTTGACTTGAAGGCGGTCCGGGTGAATGCCGTGCTGTCGCACGATTAGTCGTGCTCACCGCGGACTTCCCGTCGGGTTTGTGTAGCTTGGTATTAGCGCATGCGGCTTTTGTTGATGCGATTCTGTGGAGTCGGGCCGGTGAGCATGGATAACAACTCTCTGCTAGTTTCAGACGCCGTACGTTGAGGACATTTCGGACGGCTCGACGCGGAAAGCGACGCGTGCTTCTGGCGACAATTCCATGTGTTCGGATTGTCAAGCAGCAGCGAGCTAACAGGGAGATATGGGGGAGCAGTATGAAGCGAAACGAGCGTATACGTACGGTCGCTACTTATCTGCCGCAACTGCCCGGAACACTGGCAGTCGTGTTCCAACTGCCGCGGAGGCGTGTTGTCGCCAAAAGAAGAATGTAACGTCGAGATTCCCTGCCAGGGGCACCAGCCCATCTCTGCATTGAGTTCCTCCTTGCTACCGACCTTCGTAGACCCTGGCAAGTTTTCCACAGAGGGAATCCGGAGAAGATAATAGCAACTCACAACACGCGAGCATTGTAGAAAGTCCATGCCGCTGTCGCGGCGATGAACAATAAGTTATTTTGAGCGTCGAAACGCCGAAGAAGTGTTACCTTAAACCACTGGCAATGGCCTGCATGATGCCGGTAGTTTCTGTATCACACACATGAGATTCATCGTACAACAATGAGGACCTAAATATTGCGTCAGCATGGGCGTTCAATCTCCAATCCTATCTCACCAACAACGTCCCCGTAGCAGGCGACGACATCACCTTCGAGAATTTCCGTGGACACCGTCGCCCATCTCCCGCTACAGCCGCTCCTCCCTGACCACCCTCCGCCCCTCCAGATCCGCCCTCCTCACCGGCTCCGGTATGCGATACGTGCTACACCTCCTCACCACCCCCACACTCCCCTCCAAATCGACGCCGTGCCCCTCCGACACGAACACGTGCTTCCTCGACCCGCCCGTCCTCACCGCCGCACCGTACACCCTCCCGTCCGTCCCCCTCACCTCCACCACCTCCCCCGCTCCTCCACCATCGATCCTCCTAAACACCGCATCGTCGATCCCGACCTCCCGCAGCGCGAAGAACGTCTTCGCGACGCCGACGGTGCGGATATCGAGCGAGGCGCCGAGGTGCGCGGCGACGCCCAGGCCGCGCGGGTGCCACACGCCGTGGCCGTCGACGAGCGTCACGTCGGGCGGGTACAGGTCCGGCCGGTCCGCCTTCAGCATGGCGAAGAGCGCGGTGTAGAGCGGGACATCGCGGAAGGCGAGGTAGCCCGCGCAGTACGGTTCGCGCATCTCGGCGCGGTGTACGGCGGTATACAGCGGCGGGGTCGAGGGGGAGGGGGGAGAGGGAAGCAGGACGAGCGCGGCGACGGCGCGGTTGGAGGTGAGCGAGAAGGAGATGTCGATACCGGCGACGGTGCGGAGCGAGTCGGGGTCGAGCGGGGCGGAGGTGCGTTTGAGGAGGAGAGCGCGCTGCGTCGCGTCCCAGGAGGCGAGCTTTGTGGGGTTGATATCTTCCGTATGAACGCGGATGTGGTTTAACCCCGTGGAGGTGGGGGCACGGCTAGGCGGGTCGATGGGCGTCGGTGAGATCTCGTCTTCGCTGCCCGGACGGCCATCGACGGGCTCCGTAGAGGGCGCGAGGTGTTCAGACATCGTGTATTGGAGGCAAGAGAAATGCGAGTCTCGTCAGCTTCGTCTCAGACTCTCGACGCGGTGCTCATTTCCGCTCATCATGGCAGTTCCGGACACAGCGGAGGAACCCACCGACTGTGGCTGTACGCGCGAAGCAACATCGGAGAAGCGCCCGATGTACAGCCACCATCCGCAACCTTATTTGCGTCTGCCCGGGGTCGAGCGCTCGTCGCACGTGCCCGAGGAGGTCGTGCAATGAGACCCGCAGATAAAGATACAGAGCAAAGGACAACACGCGCGACGAGCACATATATAAGGTATTGCTTCTTCGGCAGTTCGTCTTCAATCCTCCTCGTCGTCCTCGTCGTCCGTACGCGCCCTCGCCGGTCCGGACGCATACCCACCCTCATCCTCCCGCTCGTCGTAATCCTGCTCCATCGCCTCCTCCCGCATCCCTCTCTCCCTCGCCGGCTCGGCCGCGTCCACCGTCATACTCTCCTCCCCCAGACCAACGCCCATCCCTGGCAACGCCGGCGCACCCACCTTCTTCCTCGGCGCCGCCCTCCTCTTCTTCGGCGCCGCCTCCGCGCCTCCTGCCCCTGCTCCGTCGTCTCCTATCGGCGCGACCTTCTTCTTCCTCACGCGCTTCTTCTTCTTCGGCTCCCCGCCGTCCGAGTCTTCGTCGACGTCGGGCGCGGAGGAGAACGAGTGGGAGGCCTGGGCGCGCCGCGATGCCGCGCCGGAGGCGGAGGACTTGGGCTCGATGGGGATCGTGCCGCCCGCGGAGGGGTCGGGGACGGCTTCGACGATCTCTTTGAGGAAGTCGAGCATCTCGACGGTCTCGACCGCGTGTTTTCTGGGGAGTCGCGGTCGTGGGGGCGTACATGAGAAAAACCGCATCGGTTGAAAATGGGGGGAGAGGGGGGGAGAGGGGGGGGGGTTTGCGCGAGAACGTACAGGTGGTAGGCTTCGACGCGCTTCGAGCCGCGGTCGGAGGTGACTTTGGCGGCTTCGTCCACGAGCTGGCCGAGGAAGAGCTCGAGGGCTTTGGCTGCGGAGCGACAGATTTTTGTTGTTTGGGGGGGGGGGGGGAGCATAGTGCGAGTGTTACGGGCGCGGGTATGACCGACGAGTGCGACGACGAGGGGACGCACATATCACGATCGGTGTCGCTTGCGACATCTTGCCGACGTCTTCGTCTTTCTGCATTATCCGCTTGATCCTCGCCTGCACGCGAGCACGGTGAGCGATGAACACGGTTTGGTCGACATTAGCACAGGAGCGGGGGAAGGAAATGGGGGCGCGGAAGAGCGATGTAATAAATATGAAGAGGGCTGTAAGAAAGGCAGGGAAGGCGGCGGCACACCCGCAGGGCCCGGAAAGGAGAAACTGAGGCGCGCGATTTGCACACCCACCACCGGGAACTTTGTGATCTTGCTCCTGTTCTTCATCCTCGCGTTCTTGGCCCCCCGTTTCTCTCCCTCTGTCTTCGGCTTTTACGTGGTGGATCCTAGCGCGGTATGTTATGCAAGTCGAGCTTAGGGACCGTGCCTAGGGGGATCCTCGCTGCAGCGTCTCCCCGGTCTCACTGCAGTCCGTTGTGTATATATGCCATAAAGACGAGGACCCCGGATGACGGTGGCGGTGCTACCCTGTATATATAGTCTGCGTGCACGTGGGAGCTCTGGGGATAAGGCACGCGAGGACCGCTGGCACCCCGTAGATCGTTTGACGCGTCTCAAGTCCTCCGCGTTGATCTGATTCAAATCTCCAGTTTCCCCTCTTCCGTCTCGGTGGTACTCAATCGAGGGGCCGTACATATCGCGCTCGGACGATAAAATGTCGTATAACTGGGACGATGACGACTCGCTCATGGCCGCAGATGCGGACGCGCCCGTCGCGGGTCCATCACGCGCCGTCGCATCCAAGACACGCGCGGGCGGAGCGACCTTCATGAACCGCGTGCGCAGCGCGCCCGACGACGACGACGACGATCCGACGAACGCGTCGCGGAAGAAGCGACGCGCGTTCGTCGAGGCGAACGCGGAAGCGGACATGGACATGGAGAAGGAGTCCGGGGTGTACGGAGGTGAAGACGGGGAGGAGACGGAGATGCAGCAGCTGATCCGGCACTGGATGAACGAGCGGCAGGCGCCGGACGTGTTGCCCGCGCAGGACGTGCTGCTCGGGACCATGTTGGATCGAATACGGCGGCAGGTGAGGACTCGAGTCGGCGGCGCATGTGTGTGGCAAGAGCGTGGAAGCTGACGGGGACGGAGCGCGCTTTTTAGTCCGACACGATCGCACTGCTGCGCTCGGACCCGGACTCGAGCGAGGAGGAGCACTTTCGGATCATGCTGGCCCAGACGGAGATCGAGCGCGTCAAGTTCGTCGTACGATCGTACGTGCGCACGAGGCTATACAAGGTGAGCTAAACTCTCGAGAATTTCTGGGTTTGTAAATGCCGCCTTTTACTTAGAGGCCTCCGTCGCCCTATATGCGCATATATGCGCGCCTATCTTATCTTTTTCCGACCTCATGAGCTTGCCATGGCTGACGCACGTCTGCCTTCTAATTAGATAGAGAAGTACGCCCGCTACCTGGTCGCGAATCCGGATCTCCAAGAGAAGCTCACTCAGATCGAGCTCGAACACGCCAAAACGTAACCCAATCTCCCCCTCTCTTTGCCGTGCTCTGTTCTTGTGGCCGTCTGACGCGATACACGATGGCTAGGTTCGCCAAGCTGACGGAAGCGCACTTCCACCAAAGCGTGCTCCAGGCGCTACCCGAAGAGCAGCGCAGGCTGACCGACCACGTCGCGTTTATGCCGCCCATGAGTCCGCGTTTTTTTTCCCCCTCTTCAGCTTGGTTGTCCGATCCTCAGTCATCTGACGTTTCGTGACAGTACCTGAACCAGACAAGACGCGTGCCGTCTTCGTGCACGCCCGGACCAAGTGCCCTCCTGTGCGCCTTCCCGAGTAAGCATCTCCTGATGGTGGACGGGGACGTATGGCTCGTCGTTGACTTCCCCTACCAGTGGTTCCGCGCTCGAGATGCAGAAGGGCCAGATCTCGCTCACGCCGTACTACGTCATCGAGCAGCTACTCGTCCGGGGTGAGGTCGAGCTCGTATAGCCGCTCGATGGCGAAGCGCTTGGGCAAGCGTCCGTGTCCCGGCACTCCCGCACAAACCACGATTTCGGTTACGCCGGCGTCAGGATCGTCGTTGTTCGGACGCTTCAAGCTAACGATCCGATCGTCATGACTTCCGGCAAACTGCTCTCATCGGAGCATCGCTTATTCTAGACGTAAACACGACTGGCCGCGGCCGTTTGCTGGCAAAACGTTTCGTGGACGGGGACAGCATTGATGGGATATATTCTCCAGCGGGCGGACGATCGAACAACATGCACCTCGGGTGTCCTCCCAGACCGCGCCGTCCGTGGTCTGTTTCTCAACCCCTCCAGATACTCCATTCGAGGCGCTGGAACAAATGCTCCCGTGTCAGCGTGTCACCGATCGCACGATCCTCATGCGATCCACAACGCGCTCACCTTATTCCAGTCCGGAAGTTCCGTCGAACGGGCACGGCGGGCAGCAGCACACCGGCGTCGAGCGCTCGTCGAGCTTGAACACGGGCGGCATCGCGAGCGCGCTCGAGGCGAGGGCGGCGAGGGTGGTCAGCGCGACGGCGAGAGTGGAGAAGCGCATCGTTAGACTCGCGCGTTGTTCTTGTGTTTGAGGTAGCTGTGCTTGTGTTCCGAGCTGCTCTCGTGTTTCCTCTCTTATAAACCCCCCGTGGACGACACGATAAGGAGCCGGAGGCATATACCTTCTCACGATAGACAGTTGATGGGATTTTGTTGGATGTGCGGCTGGGACGCGCCGGGCGTCGAATCCGGTGCTTGTCGCGGCTCGGGAGACTGTGCTGAGGTACCATCAGCGGTGCGCGTGCTTCTGTCAGAGTGAACGGTTGCATGAACCTGCCACCTCGAGTTAAGATCTTGGTCATTGATCCCTGACCAGCGGTGTACGATACATTGCTGGAGTTGGGGTTCTGTCAAGTATCGACCGTGCACTAAAGGATCGGGAAAACGCCCATTCTTAGAGCCAACGAAAGGTTACTCGAGCCAGTTTCAAGTACCCAGTTGGAAGGACCAATACATCAATTGCAAGCGGGAACGGTAGAAAACAGACAACAAGCCACGAATTCGGTATCCTAGATCTACCTCCACTGGTACAGATCAACGTGTATAGATATATCCTCACAACGTTCATGGACAATCGCCCTCCGCCAAGTGCAGAAGAAAATAACCGACACGCGACAAACAGAGCGACAGCACAATAGCAAACGAGAGCAACCAAAAAGCGACCATCAATGAAAACAAGAGGCGTGTTTTGAGGAGAAAATGGATCCAAGTTCGATCTAATCATCGGCTCCGCCGAAGAGGGACTCCATGTCCGACTCGTCAGCGTCTTCAACCTCTTCGTTACGGCTGGGCTGAACTACAGCCGCGGAGTTGAAAGACGGTTGCCATTCCGCGCTCCGTGAAGGTCCCGCTGCGGTAGTTACAGCGAGCGATGCGGCGTGACTCGAAGCTGAGACGACCGGTCCGGGTTCAGAAGAGCGGCCCCGAGGGACAGGGGTAGCTTGAGAGGCGAAGGTGCCGAAATAGCCAGGGTCGCCCAACGCGCCGTCCAAAGAAGAACTGCTCGGCCTGAAAACGACGGAGCCCATGAGTTGCCTCGACGGCGAGCTCCACACAGCGTTTTGTGAGTTCGAGGAGCGCAGGTTACTGTAGAAGTTGCCCGCAGAGATGCCAGTGGAGCCATCGTACGGCTGTGCCAGGGAAGACGACGAGCTGGGGCCTGCGAGAGGCAGCGCCAGTCCGAGAGTCGACTCGAAGGAGACGGCCCTCACGGGCGGAAGCGCAGGTGCGCTATTCGACACGAAGGGGGCGGATCTCGTGGGCGGCAACTCAGGCTCAGGTGTCGGAAGCGCGGAGGCGGCGGTGGCGGCGGCAGCGGTCTTTTGCTTCTTCGCGCGCCCCTTAGTTACGCCTTCTCCCTTGCGCTTCGTATCAGATGCCGGCTGGTACGGATGTTCAGGAGTTAACATCGGACCGAATCGCACGATCAACGGGAGGAGGGGAACATTGGGGGCATTATCCTGGGACTCCGTCTTCTGTTTCTTCTCTGCGCCTTCGTCGGTCGCATCTTCGCCGTCCGTCGGTCTCTCGCGCTTGCGATTGGCTCCGCCAGAGGAGGGTCCTGGAGCTGCTGCGGATGAAGCCACAGCTCGACTGGCTTTGGTGCTGGCTTTGGTGCTGGCTTTGGTGGCCTTGGCTGGTTTCTTAGCCTTCGCTCCCTTACTCTGTGATTTACGGGCTGAAACGGGCGGCAACGGCTGAGTGCTAGCAGTAGAAGGCGCCAATGCACTTGTGTGCGGGTTGTACTCTACAAGCCCGTGTGCGTCCAAGCTCGAAGGAAACAACTGATTTGATGGGCCAGCGAGGGAGTAAGAGGTTGCAGGACGCGAGGACGCAGCCGGGACAACGTCGATGGGCATAACAGGACGGGTCGTGACCAGCGACGGCAGAGGACTCGTCAGGTAAGCGGTCGGCTGGGACGACCTGGACACTTGCCACGGATCGCAGGCTCCGTTTGAGAGCGAAGGAGACGTAGTCGGCTGCGATGACAAGAGCGCTTGCCGAGGATCGCGCATTCCGCTCGGGGTCGAAGGAGACGATGCCGCCGGTGTCATCTCGGGGAAGTCGAAAGGCTGCTGCAAGTCGAACGGGGAGACCTGCAAAGAAGCGGGCGATTCCGAGCGCGAAGGCCGAATAGAGGGAGGAAGAGGGACTGGCGTAGTCCTTTCATAGGCACGAGATGCGACGGTCGCAGCTTGATGAGAACTATGCGCGGGGACTCTGGATCCGTAGTAAGCCACGGGCGCGGTTGGCTGTCCCAGTGTACCCTGCGCGCCTGGGTGGGCAGCGGCTGTAGGGGGTGTTGGTAAGCCTGTGCGAGACTGGTGGTGGCGGGGGGCAGAAACTTGTGCAGAGGCTGGGTGAAGGGTAGCAGATGGGTATATTTCCATGAACGGGTTGTTCGTACGCAAGCCTGCGTTCTCCACCGGTATTGTAGCTGGTGACGGAGCGGGGGTAACCGTCTGCTTCGGCAGGACGGTGTGGTCAATCGGCGTCCCGATCATGGTGACCCTGCTGACTTCTTGGGGCGGGACAGTAGCCAGCACCTGATCAAAGGTTATGCGCGGATCATCGAACTGTGCACGACGATGGGGAGGCAGTGACTGGGTTGGGATCATTGCGAAGTTCGGTAGCAACCATCCCATATCGACCAATGGATGGCAGAACATCGGGCTGAACGCCAATGCAATCATCTCGGACCGTGTTCTTGGCACGGTGAATGCCTTCCACGAGCCGTTCAATAGGTCCCGTTCTGGTTTCTTAGGAGGCGGGGTTACGAACTTGGGGGCCGTCTTCCCGTCAGCTGTAGTCCAGCAGAACTCTGGAAACGTAGTCCAATGTGCAGGACAGTTTCGGCTGGGAGCGGGATCTCCTTGGGGATAATACGGATTCGGGAGGAGATCATGCGTCTCCTCGCCGCAGATTAGCTTGATAATTGTGCGTGAGCAGGTGGTCTACAGCACCGGGTACATGTGCATACCGGTTTTAACAGTTTCTTGAAGTTTCCCTCTAGAGGTGACGGTTCTCCGTATCTCCTAATGTGCGTTACCCAGAGGAGTACACCCATCTAGTTGAAATTCAGCCGCTAAACAAAGGAATGCGAAGAGACGACGACGCTACCGATGCTAGGTCGTTCACTAATGCCTTCAGGTGCTTCATACACTCGCGTATATAGGCGCCTCCATTGCGAGCGACGAACCACGATCTCTCCGAGCTCGTCCAAATGTATATATACGTGGGGCCACGCTGCTCCTGAGAGTATGGGTCAAGCGCCTTGATATACTCACATATGAGCTCCCAATCATCCACGCTACGGTGGGAAACTCACCCAGCGTATCCTGGATAGGAAGACCTCCAACGAACGGTATGGAGTCTGTGGGCGAAATACATGTCGTGTGTGAGGGTGCTGAAGGGGTGAATGTCAGACAGAGGTGAAGCCCAATGATCATCCAGATCTCACCTCCGAGTAGAATTTTACTACCGATTCCTCGTGGTGATCTACGGCGCCGAGGACATCCCAGTCGACCAGCGTGAAGAGCCTTCCCAGTGAAATCCCTTGAGGTGGCGGTGGAGCCGGGTCCATGATGAGCCGATTCTAGGTCCAAATGTGTGGACGAATATGAGACAAAGGACGTCTCGAGGTAACGGTATAGGGGAGGTGGCAGATGGAGATTGGTGTAGTGCGAGTGGTTGGAGGCGAAGGGGTGGGCAAACGGGACAAGGGTCAACAAGGAAGCCACCTCCGCACGTGTCTTCTTTCAAAAAACAACGCGTATATAGCAGACAATGAACTGCCGCGTCAATAGCACCGAGATAGCCCAGGACACCGCCTCTGAACAGACCAAAGCCTGCCCTCGTTGTCCCGACGTGCACGATTGCCAGTAGCACGACGGGCAAGAGCACTCCTGCAGATTCTCCAGAGACGCAATGCGCCGCTCGACGGTTACCACCCGCTCGAGCCACAATGCGAATCCTTTCCCATCTGACGCGTCGAAACAATAGAATCACCGCACGGATTGGGGCCAGAGCGCCACATTGGAACAATGTTGGGATGCCCAGTGGAAGGGGGGCACGATAATCGCCTGCGGAAAATCCATTGCATGCATTTCCCAGCACGCGCATGTCTGACATATCTCCATCCTGAGACAAAGAAAATGTATGTGCATGTCGTTGTCATGGTGGAGGGGTATCGTCCCGGCGCCTTGTTCTGCAACAATGCGCCCTTTATAATCCGATATACGGAACGAGCGGGCGTCTACGCCTTTCATCGCGGTTCAAGCGTTACCGTGCAGAGTGTAGAAAGTCTCAACGGCCTCGACACCTGCGCGGGGCGTCGTACGTCCTGCCTACGTGCATCTTCGCTGTCCACCGCGTAGGCGCCAGTTTAGCGCCCGTGACGCGGTCACGTGGTCGGAAAGCCTCGCGAAGGTTCCTGGGTCCTGGACGACTTCGAGCTGGCATCGCTTCGAAAATGGAGAAACGAGAAGAGTCGAACGACGCAAAAGTAGAATCGTGCCAGAACCGTACTCATGAACATCCGGTGCTCTCGATTTGCAGCCATGTCGCGGACGAAAATGCGAAACCACATCAAGAAGACGTAGGATGCAACTGATGTATCTATGCCATCCACGTCAGAGATAGCAAAACACAAGATACATGCGGATACATAGACCGACGAACTCATGAGCGACACGACGTTCGGCTCATCGCAAACGGACGACGCGCAGGACGACACTTCGTTGCTTGATTACGCAGCCGTTATAGGTACTGATTGGGCGGAAGTGAGGATCATTCATCAAGTCCAGTACTTGTTGTGCATTTCAAACCAAGAAAGCACGTATGAACGTGGCGCCGCCCCACGTGGCCAGTCGTGCCAGCCCGAGTCTGACTACTCGCGATTCAATGGAGAACTTCGGTGTTCTGCGCAAGGGGTGATAGTTGATTCACTTTGCGAGCTTGACTGCAGAGAGGAACGCAGCAGACGGTAGTGTATGCGAGAGAGGTCAGAACTTGGTATCCTACATCATCCCACTTGACGATCAGAACGGCAATTTGTCACGTACATGTTGCGGCGTTGTTACGTCTTCCGCAGGCACTTTCGAATACAACACTCGCCCGCGTGAAGACGCCGCGATGGGCCACGACACCGATGCGCGATAACAAAATGCACAAGAGCGTAAAATATCGCGATGAAGGTGGTCGCCAGGATTCGGAGGTGAAGGGCTTTTGATCCACGTGTCAAGTTCATTCTCCGCCGGAACCCAACAAACGAGCCAACCCTCGACCACGACTTACGACTTTGTTCCCGTCCACGACCACCTTTCTCCTTCCCTTCCCTACATACTCCAGGTGAGCGCTCAATGTTGTTTACATGCCTTCCCCCGCGATGAGGTGTGGAGTGACACCGGGACATTTGACTCGGCGTTGTGCCATCACCCCCGTGGAAACGTGTTTCTGACCCGTCGCCTCTTGCAGAATGCGTGAAATCGTCCACCTTCAGACTGGCCAGGTACGCTGCGACCTATGATACGCGTTGATGCGAACGCTGACCTGGTCCTCGATGTAGTGCGGCAACCAAATCGGTACGCTCTTTTCTGGCAGGACTCGCCAAGAGGAGATATTGACCAAAGGTCCCAGGTACTCGTTTCTGGGAAACCGTCTCGGACGAACATGGCATCGGAGGTGACGGTGTCTACACCGGCAACAATGACCTGCAACTCGAGCGCATCAACGTCTACTACAACGAGGTTGGCGGGAACAAGTACGTGCCCCGCGCGGTCCTCGTCGACCTTGAGCCCGGAACCATGGATTCGATTCGATCGGGTCCTCTTGGCGGTCTGTTCCGTCCTGACAACATGGTGTTCGGCCAAAGCGGCGCGGGTAACAACTGGGCGAAGGGCCGTGAGTGTCGTCGTCCAGCGATTATTTTCGCGGCTTGCTTATGCAGGGCACAGATTACACTGAGGGTGCCGAACTCGTCGACTCTGTGCTGGACGTTGTGCGGAAGGAGGCTGAGGGCACTGATGCACTCCAGGGTATGTGGCGGCTGCGCTTCCGCTCCTGTTCTTGCTAATCTGCTTTATAGGATTCCAAATCACCCACTCCCTGGGCGGTGGTACTGGTGCTGGTATGGGTACCCTTCTGATCTCAAAGATCCGTGAGGAATACCCGGACCGCATGATGTGCACCTACTCCGTCGTGCCGTCTCCGAAGGTTTCGGACACTGTCGTCGAGCCGTACAACGCGACTCTCTCCGTGCACCAGCTCGTCGAGAACTCGGACGAGACCTTCTGCATTGACAACGAGGCGCTTTACGACATCTGCTTCCGGACACTCAAGTTGTCCATGCCTACTTATGGGGACCTCAATCACCTCGTGTCAATTGTCATGTCCGGCATCACTACTTGCTTGCGGTTCCCCGGTCAGCTCAACTCCGATCTCCGGAAGCTCGCCGTCAACATGGGTAAGGATTTCACCGACTGCCACTCAGCGAACTACATTTCTAACATTGTGTCTCAGTCCCCTTCCCTCGTCTCCACTTTTTCATGACTGGCTTTGCGCCGCTCACCGCCCGTGGAAGTGCACAATACCGCGCCGTGACCGTGGCGGAGCTCACCTCGCAGATGTTCGACGCGAAGAACATGATGGCTGCGTCCGACCCCCGGCACGGGCGCTACCTCACCGTCGCGGCCGTCTTCCGCGGCAAGGTCTCGATGAAGGAGGTCGAGGAACAGATGCAGAACGTGCAGAACAAGAACTCGGCGTACTTTGTGGAGTGGATCCCGAACAACGTGCTCACCGCTCAGTGCGACATCGCGCCGCGCGGGATGAAGATGGCCGTCACCTTCATCGGCAACTCGACCGCGATCCAGGAGCTGTTCAAGCGCGTCTCCGACCAGTTCACGGCCATGTTCAAGCGCAAGGCGTTCCTCCATTGGTACACCCAGGAGGGCATGGACGAAATGGAATTCACCGAGGCCGAGTCCAACATGCAGGATCTGGTTGCGGAGTACCAGCAGTACCAGGATGCTACGTGCGTGCTTCTCCTCGCTTGTGTACCGCAGAAACTGACGTATCGTTGTAGCGTCGAGGAGGAGGGCGAGTACGAGGAGGAGGTCTACGAGGAGGAGCAGCAATGAAGCAACAATTTATCTTTGTTCCTCCGAATTTTGGTTCTCCTTCTGATTCTCCTGCTTCCGCCATCGGCGCCAAAAATTACTTCATCCACTCACGTATTGGCTGCCCACATACCTCACATCATCTTGCAGTGGAACGGGAACTGGCCCACGTCGCAATGTTTTACGTTACGCTCTCTGGCTTCATAGTTGTCCTTACGATTTTACGCACAATCACGATCGGGAGGACTTGTTTCGGTCGTCCTGTGAAATATTCTGTGAAATCAGAGTGACCCCGTTTAGGCCGAGCGTGAACACGCATGACGCTGTGCCGGCGAAGGTTACTCATCCCATCCTCATGATCACGACCAAAGCATGATAAAGGCCTTGCGCTCTCGCGCTCATGCTACTGGCTCGTCGTTGTAGCCCTCAGCCCCAGCGGCCCCTGCAAAGACTATCGCAGACTCTCGCTCACCTCAGGCCGACTACGGCAACCCGATCGTTTACTTCGTCTCCCACCCGCGGCACCATGGCGTACCCTGCCAAAATCCAGGCGATCAATATACCCAAGCAGGGTGATCTCGATGTCATCGAAAAGAACGAGATCCCGTTCGCGCGCGCCGATCCGACGCATCTCATCGTCAAGATGCACTACGGCGGTGTGAACTTCATCGATACGTATTTCCGGTACGTCGTAGGCATGATGCGTACTCGATTATTCAAGCTCACGAGTCTATCAGCAAGGGACTTTACCCCGTGAAGAGCTTCCCGGCGACGCTTGGTACGGAGGGCGCCGGGATTATCGTCGAGCTGCCGACGGACGAGAGCGTGCTCAACCATGAGCACTTCAAGAAGCGGGGGTATGCGATTGGTGCGAAGGTCGCTACGGTACGCATACATCGCAGGATCCCAGATCGAAAGGATACTGAAGTTTGCTCGCAGTACCAGCTTGGCGCCTACCAGGAGTACATCTCTATTCCGTGGAACAACGCCTATCCGCTCCCGGAGTCCGTTCCTCTCAGGACGGGTGCCGCTTCTCTGACGCAGGGCCTCACCGCGTTGACGTTTATGACGGAGGCCCATAATGTAAAGAAGGTGTGTACCTCTCCTCCATCTGCGTCGTCGGTGTGAAGCTGAGGCTACTCCACAGGGCGAGACCATCTTCGTGCACACCGTCGCCGGTGGACTAGGCTTGATCTTCGCCCAGATCGCCAAATTGCGTGGCGCTACTGTCATTGGAACGACGTCCACGCCAGAGAAAGCCGAGCTGGCGAAGGTGCACGGTGCGGACCACGTCATCCTGTATAAGGACGAGGACATCGTGAAGCGCGTCAAGGAGATCACCAACGGCGAGGGCGTCGACGCCATCTTCGACGGTGTTGGGAAGGACACGTAAGAATATGGCAGCTCACGCGAATCGGCCGTATATTGAACAAGCAATCAGGTTTGAGCTCGACTTCGAGATCATCAAGCGGAAGGGCACTCTCGTCTCCGTCGGGAACGCGTCTGGTGCTGTGCCGCCTTTCCCGCCTCTTAAGCTCACGCCTAAGAACCTCAAGCTGCTCCGTCCCACGTATGTCCCCTCGATTGATTTTTTTGCGTGTCGTGAACGTCTCATTCAACTTCGGTTCAGAATGGGCAACTACGTCGTGACCCCGGAGGAGCTCACGTTCTACTGCTCCTCCCTCTTCGCCTCCGTCGCGGACGGTTCCATCAAGATCAACATCTTCAAAGAGTATCCCTTCACAGCCGACGGCGTGCGCCAGACCCAGATTGACCTCACGGGCGGTAAAACGACGGGAAAGTTGCTTATCAAGATCTCCGAATAAATCATGCCTACCCCACTACATCTTAGCATGCTCTCGGACACGAATTGGAATGTATGATATCCCTTCAGCGCGGCTTAAAACTGTCCAGGTCACCGTCTACCACCGAAAATCATTATTCATGGGCGTGCCCCTGGATGCCGATGGATTGCTGTGTATACGAAGGCTCCTGAAATGGGAGGCGGGATGCGCTTATCAGGACGGGCCAGTGACGAGCGACCATTTTAGGAACGTTTCGTACACACAACAATTTCTCGACATCCTGGGGCGCCCCAGGGTGGGTTTTTCGGAGATAGCTGGCGACCTGCGGATACTAGCTTAGCGTACGGGCTATATGGCGAATGATCATACTATGTATTGCAATGCATCTGCGATTGATTGTAGCGCCACTTCTCCGCAGTAAGTCGATGCAGCACGTATACGAAAGGATCAAAGTGACGAAGACGTCGAAGGGTCATGCACCTCCAGTCGGTGGGCCTTCGGATTGAATAAGAGTAGGAGTTGGATAGCCACGTAGCCGCGTTGATCCTCATCGCCGTGCTCCGGCCCGTCTTCGCTTGGCCTCTGGAGCATTTCAGTAGAGTCAAGGAATTCACTAGCCTTTGCAATGAACTATGGCGAAAAGCGAACATACGTTGCGACGTGTGTGGATGTACATGATGAATCCCCAACGCCTGGCGTGCCAGATTTTCTATCTATAATCTGTGGCCCATGACCGTGTATCCCGATGACGAGGCTACCGATGTCTATCATCAAGAGGGCACAACACATTCAGTCGTGCTTTTTGCCTCAACTGTCGCCACCAGTCTGAACGATACGTACAAAAGACGGCGTTATCTGGATCCCTGATACCCGCTCACAGCTGAAGATGTCCGTACCCACCAAGATCCAGGCTATCACCTTCGCCAAGCAGGGCGGCGTGGAAGTCATCGAGAAGACGGAGATCCCGTTCTCTCGCGGCGGCCCGGGTCATGTTATCGTCAAGGTGCACTACGGCGGGGTCAATTTCATCGACACGTACTTCCGGTACGTTTCAACACGAGCGCATCCTTGTCGTGTCTGATTGATAACCGTGGGTTTGGGATATCATAGAGGCGGAATATACCCTGTTGAGAAGTTCCCGGGGATCATCGGCCACGAGGCAGCTGGGGAAATCGTTGAGCTGCCTACGGACGAGAACGTGTTGAACAGCGAGGTATACAAGAAGAGAGGGTTGAGTATCGGCAGCAGGGTAGCCTTCGTACGTGTCATACCTCTCGACCGTGGACGTTGAAGCCTGATACAAAGCGGTTGATGTCAGTTCTCTACAAGCACGTTTGCTGAATACGTCTCGGTCCCTTGGGAGAAGGCGGTCGTCCTTCCGGATTCCGTCACGTACAGGATCGGCGCCGCTTCGATTCTGCAAGGCCTTACTGCGCTTTCGTTCGTCACGGAGGCGTATGAAGTCAAGAAGGTCCATTCCTTCACTCTCCTCCCTAACGTTTGATTGACATCCTGTAGGGCGACACCGTCTTTGTACACACCGTCGCTGGCGGTCTCGGCCTGTTTTTCGCACAGCTAGCGAAAGCAAGGGGTGCGACCGTGATTGGAACGACCTCCACACCCGAGAAAGCCGAAATCGCGAAGGCTCACGGTGCTGACCACGTCATTCTGTACAAGAATGAGGACACCGCCCAACGCGTCAAGGAGATCACGAATGGCCAAGGCGTGGACGTTGTCTACGACGGCGTGGGCAAGGACACGTACGTCTCTCAATCACTTGCGACCTGTCAGGAATCTTATCCCATCCAACAGATTCGAGCTGGACTTCGAGATCATCAAACGCAAGGGGACCATCGTCTCCGTCGGCAACGCCTCAGGCGCCGTCCCGCCTTTCCCACCTCTCAAGCTAACGCCCAAGAACCTCAGAATCTTGCGACCTTCGTAAGTTTCTCGTCACTATATGATGTTCTTTCTTTTTCAGTTATCTGACGCCGTCTCGTATCCAGCTTGGCGAACTACCTCGTGACCCCCGAAGAGACGGACTTCTACGGCCCGAAGTTCTTCTCCCATATCGCAGACGGATCCCTCAAAGTCAACGTCTTTCGGGAGTACCCCTTCACCGCGGAGGGAGTGAGGCAATCACAGCTCGACCTGACGGGAGGGAAGACGACCGGAAAGCTCCTGATCAAGATTATCGATTGAAAGGATCGCTCTGGGCCTTAGGTCGACGGCTGGCTTCGAGTATCTTGACAAGACCCATATGAGCTAACAAACTGTATTCTGCTGCGGGAGCTAGGCAACTATTCTGTTCTAACCAATCCACTATTGGTCATTGACAATGTATGTACTCGTACGTTAATAATCGATGTGCGCGCCGTGCTCTGAGCTCAGCCAGGATCTGCTAATATCTGTCCCTGCCCTCAGGCTGGAATAAAGCACGTCGACGTTATCTGGGGCAAATGTGATCTGGTTTTCCTCCTGCGTATCTGACAACAATCTGGGCCAGCGCCACAACGAGGTTGACGATGCTCTTGAGACGTGACAAGAAGAGATATAATTTCTCACATCCGACCGGGCATGATCGCCGACCATCACTCCTGCCCGGATTTAAACCCTGAAGCTGAAGAACGCTTACCGAGACATTTGCTTACAGAGCATTGAGGAGTGGAGCTAATACCGTCTGTGTCAGTCAAGGAACATCCCCACCACTGTCTTAGTAACGCTACGATGATACAAGCCCCACACCATCTTGCGTACTTAGGTTCATATTCCCGGGTTAAAATAGTATAACCTGCAGTTGGACCTTCGGCGTGCATTCGTTCGGCGAGTTCCCTCCTCCTTCACTATACCGGAACGCGGAAACACGCCAACAGGACTTAACCCCGGCCAGAGTCAGTGTTTCTCGATGGACATCAACGTTGGCTCCCCACCTGCGGCGTCCCTCGCCGCCAGACGTCCTCCTCGTCCCTCGCCGCTTTCTACGCTGCGACTCATCAGGAAAAACCGGATTTGCTAAAAACCTCCTAAAACCTCCTAAAACGTGCTCATTTAGTAGCTTTAGAGGGTTTCGGTACCCAATAAGCGACTCTTTCGATAGTCCGATTTTTCTTGATGGAAAGCTCTCTACTCCTTATTTCTGCCTTGTGCAGGTTATCGATGTCCAGAGCGTCCGTATCTCTGATGTATACAGTCCTAGTACGTTCCGTGGTTTCTCACACAGAGTTCTACGCTGACAACGCTCTGTCACGCAGAAGGGACATTTATCGTTGGATGTCCGGGCTTGGTCTGATTTGCATCGGTGCTGGCTTTTTTCGCGCGAAAATCGTGCTAATCGTTCTTCGTGCATTCAATGGAATGAGTAAGATGACCCTTGTTCCATGCGGGGAATATGCGCTGAACTGTGCTCTTTAGTTGCATGCATGACGACTCGGATTCCGGCGGCGTCAACGCTCATCGTCAAGATATTTCCGGACCCTTCTGAGCAGGCGCGGGCTATCAACATATTTAGTGCATGCGGCGGTATCGGAAACGGTGAGCCCCAAGGGTCCGTTCCTGTCTGCTGTCAGTCCGCTGAATTAGGACGTCGTATGCAGTGTCCTTGGCCTCATTATAGGCGCCATCTTTGGCCAGTACACGTCATGGCCTTGGGTGTTCTGGTTCATCTCCATCGTTTCATTACCGATGGCCGGGCTGTCTTATATTCTCATCCCGCCTCAGCACGAAGACGAGAGCGGAGACGGACCGAAGTCACCCATGGAGAAATTCAATACTCTCGATACCTTCGGGTCACCATGCTGACAAGTAACGCTCCATCACGATTCTCTCGCCTGCGATAGCCTAACGATACACGAAACAAACTTCACTCCTCTTACTCATCTTCGCCGTGACATCCGGCTCGTCATCGGGCTCCGCGACCGTCCTCGCGCCGCTCCTCATCAGCCCCTTCCTTCTCGTCGGCTTCTTCCTCTACGAACGCATAATTCCAGCATCGAAAGCCGCTATCCCGCCTGCCATGTGGTTTCTGCCCAACTTTGCGGTTCTTTCCGGCGTCGCGCTCCTACCCTACTTCTGGTGGGTCACGATCTTTACGATCTTCACGAATCTATGGCAGGGCGTGTACGGCTGGCAGGCGATCGACGCGGCCGTACACTTTATCACGAACGGCGTCACCATGTTTGTTGCCAGTTGGACGGGGAGTTGGGCGAAGCGAATCTCCCCTAAGTGGCTCATCCTAGGTGGTCAGGCTCTCATGATTGTCGCTACTATCCTCATGGCGTTTGCGTCTGCGCGAGGGGCGTATTGGCCATTCATCTTCCCTGCCCTCCTCCTCGGGTTGTCAAGAGTTATGATCACCTGCACGCACACCAACATCGCCATCTTCAAAACGTCCCTGGCAGAGTCGGACAGGATGACGGGAACAGTTGGCGCGATATTCAACGGCGCGCTTCAGCTCGGGTCCGCTGTCGGGATAGCGGCTGCGACGAGCGTGGAGAGCAGCGTTAAAAAGTGGTCTGAGAAGGGATCCGAGGGATCTGAAGGCCGCGCAGCGGCATTCTGGTTTCTGCTGGGAATCATTGTCCTGGAGACTGCTCAAGTCGTGATATTCTACCGGAGGGACGTGTCTGCTCCCACGGATGCTAAGCAGGAGGAGCACAAGGCCAACTTCGGCGAGGTTACGTGCTCTACGGCGACTGTTTCTGTGGAATGTCGAATGCAAGAGCAAAAGGTTTCCGATGGTCGAGAATTCGGCGGGGTGTAGCATCACAGGACCATTCAACCGGAGTGATTGCATGAGCGCCAACTGATTTCTTTCATCTAATGCTGCTTCGTCCGAGTTGATCGGCTTGCCAATGTATAAGCTATGCCCATAGCGATAATCGCCTGTCTCTGCGCTATCTTAAGTCATGATATGCTTTTAACTCAGTGTTGGACTTACACTGAAGCACACATGGCAATGTCGATCTTGTATACCGCTAGTGGGAAACATTTCGGACATTGATCGCGTGCGAGTGCAGAGAGTTCAAATTGCCTGTTGAATGTTGGAAGTTCTGAAGCCGGTGCATATTCGCTACATGCAAGAAGTGCAACAAGCTCGTATAGTCAGTACACAGAAGTAACCCAGGCTGACGTCGAGGAAAATGATAGGCACGTTCTCACGCTCATCGGCCATTGCCGTGTTAGATATCTCCTCCCGTTTCGGACGTTCACCTAAACGACGCTTACCGAGACACTTGCTTAGAGAGAGCGCTGGGTTGTGGGTCTACGCCAGGTGGAGGGCCACCCCAGCTACTGCCTTAGTAACGCGGCAATGATACGAGGCGCCCTCCATCTCGCGTAGTTGCCTGAGTCAGGTCGAGATGATAGTACCTGCTATAAAATCCTCCAGGCTGTTTTGACCAACTCAGCCAGGTTTCGTCCTACCTCGCCCCACCGCCCGATTCCTCCAACAATTCTTCGGGAGGTCTTACTTAGTGTGATACAATGGTAGCCGAACTCGTCCTGTCTCCCGCGGCGACGCTTGTCGATGGACTCCTCCCGTCTCAGCTTTCCACCATTCGAAAATACTCGCTACTCCTCGTTTTCTGTCTCGCCCAGCTTATTGACGTCTTCAACAACTCTGCGTTGTTCTCCGCTATTCCGACCCTTATCACAAGTTTGGACATGACCGAGAGCGAGTCCACTTGGATCATCAGCGCCTACCAGCTGACTTTCGCAAGTTTCTTGCTCATCGTGAGTCTTTGCGTTATATCTGTCTCCTGTGCTCATCAAATGTACAACTCGCCTCAGAGTGGCCGTATTTCTGACGTGTATAATCCTAGTGCGTTTCCCTGCCTCGTACACAGACTCGAACTAAGTGTGCTCTGCCTCATAGAAGCGGCATTTATCACCGGGTTTTCCGGCCTTGGTTTGATTGCTATCGGTTCTGGGTTTGTTCGCTCGAAAATTGTGCTCATAGTTCTCCGTGCTTTGAGTGGAATGGGTGAGGCTGTTCTGTTTCAGCCACGAGAAGGGCTGCTGAACCATGCGTGTTTATCCAGTTGCAAGTCTGACAATACCTGCGGCGTTGACACTCCTTGTCAAGATCTTCCCGGAACCTGCTGAGCAAGCGCGGGCTATTGGTATCTTCGGAGGTTGCGGCGCCATCGGAAACGGTGGGTTTCATCGGTCCGCCCCACTTCTTGCGTTCAGTCCGCTGATGGCGGATATCATTGCGCAGTTCTTGGTCTCATTATCGGCGCCATCTTCATACAATATACGTCGTGGTCTTGGGTATTTTGGTTCATCCCAACCGTGGCCCTGCCCATTTCGGCGCTGTCGTATTTCCTCATTCCGCCCCAGTATGAGGATGCAAGTGGAGATGAACCCAAATCTTCCTCTGAGAAGCTCAAGAATCTCGATACCCTGGGTGTCGGTATGTTGACAGGTAATGCCGTCACTGCTATCCTAGTTGCGCGGCGCTGACCATGATCCAGCGTCCCTCATCCTACTCATCTTTGCCGTAACGTCGGGATCGTCATCTGGTTGGGGCTCTGCGACCGTCCTCGCACCCCTCATCATCAGCCCCTTCCTCCTCGCCGGTTTCTTCTTCTACGAGCGCGCCATTCCTGCGGCGAAGGCTGCCATACCGCCCGCGACGTGGTTCCTGCCCAATTTCGCGGTCCTCTTCGCCGTCGCGCTCCTGCCCTACTTCTGGTGGGTTACGATCTTCACGATCTTCACCAATCTATGGCAGGGCGTGTATGGCTGGCAAGCGATCGACTCCGCCGTGCATTTCCTTCCTGTTGGGATTGTAGCGTTCGCGGCGAGCTGGACTGGCAGCTGGGCAAAGCGGGTGTCGCCAAAGTGGATCATCATGGCCGGCGAGGGCTTGATGATCATCGCCACCATCCTCATGGCGTTCGCGTCCGCCAGGGAAGCATATTGGCCGTTCGTCTTCCCCGCGTTCTTGCTCGGCTCGACGGGCGCCACGCTCGCGTATACGCATGCCAACATTGCGATCTTCCAGACCTCCCTCGCGGAGTCGGACAAGATGGCGGGAACGGTCGGCGCGATATTCAACGGCGCGCTGCAGCTCGGGTCAGCTGTCGGGATCGCGGCCGTCACAAGCGTAGAAAGTAGCGTAGAGAAGCGGTCCTCTAGAGGTATCGAGGGATATCAAGGGCGAGCGGCGGCATTTTGGTTCCTCCTCGGCGTCGTCATTGTCGAGACTGCCGCGGTGCTGATCTTCTACCGACGGGATATCGCTGTCGTGGAGGACGCGGAGCGGGTCGAGGCCAAGACAGGTGACGGTGAGGCGAAATGTACATCATCAGAGAAGACATCCTTCGATGGCGCGAGTCCAGCGCGGGAACCTGCAGGTGAGATTGTGGAAGAACTAACAGAAGGTAGTGGCTTCACTCCCTGAACGCGCTTGAAGACATATCGTCTCGTTTGATTCAACATAGACCAAGTAGCTTTAGAACAACATCTTAGTGTAGCGATAGCATAGAATACAACGCGATTAACAGCATAGCCCCATAGGCATACCCTTGAGCTTAGTACTACGCGATTCGCAAGACGGAAAGTAGCGCGACTATGTTCAGTGATGTATACACATCAAGGACTGTTTACTGGCTGTTCCACTGGAAATCATGGCCTTGCATGTTGCTAGTGACGCATACGTCACACGGGCATTGTGAATTTGTGCGACGGTGTGCGTGATGTGAGCCAGATCCGATATACGAGGAGCTTCGACGATGATAAGCTATAGCTTCGCCAAGCCCCCAGGGTAGGCGCCGAAGCGCAAGGGACAGGAAGTTGATTATCGAGCATTGTCACACGCCTCCACAATAGTGTCGTTGGTCTTGAATGTATCATTGCATGTCGTGTTGTCATGGTTGCCATGGTCATGCCGAACATATCGTGCAATGTCGTATAGTACAAGCGCTCGGGTGTCTAGATGTACATTCCAGTCATCTGGGGTCGTCTGTGATCCTGAAGCTCGTAAAAACGTGGTGGTGGTCGTGGTAATTGGGCGATGATCACAACGCGGGCGAGTCGAATGCGAACGGGGGAGAACTCCGCGAGCTCTCCGATCCCGACCTGAAATGCCTCTTGCGAAAGACCGATTTACTCAATCGTATACTGAACCCGGTCGCCCGGCGCCTAAAGCCTGCGACGCGAACAGGTCAAAGCCCCCAGGACGGGAGTCAATAGTGCTCTGATAGCCGAACTTACCACGGCGATAAGACGGGTTCAGCAGCGGGTCATCGTCTCCCAGGTAGCTCGGAGGACGAGCACGGACCGGGTCCTGGCGCGGTGCAGGAAACGGTCCGCCGAACGCGACGCCGGCGAGTGCGATGACTTGCAGGAGAGTGAGCAAGGTCCCGCGCATGTCGTTATGTGGTGTGTGTGTAGACGTGAGCACGGTACGGGAGAGGAGGGAAAGCTCGTGCGCGCATTTCTTAAGGAAGCACTCTGGAGCTGGGTCACCGCCCTGTTGCCAGCTGACTGCCGGGCGCGTTCCGGCGTATACAATTCATGGGTGTCGCGTAGAGCGGCCGGGTGGTTCTCAGACGCAGGGATCACCATACATGGTCGACGGCGGCTTCGGGGGTGCTCGTGGTGCTCCACAAGCGATTGCAGGATTTCAAAGTCACAGCCACATTGCATCAAAAGGACATCTCCGAGTCCGGCGAATTCCGCTCAGGTCGGCAGCTCGGTCGCTTGTGAGGGGCTTAAGTAGGTCCCATTCGTCTTCAAGGTATTGCAGTATATCCCATCGCAAAGCGCTAGACAAGATCTATACGAATTAGACCAACAGAGCGGCATGCAACATGAAGGAATGCGATTTCGGCTACCTTACCTCGTGAGATCGAATTTGTAACTGAGGTATTGGTTATTTAGGCTAAGCATTGCCCGGCGCAGGAGCATCACGGGCTCTCCATATCGCAGAGACCGACGGCAAAGTATGATACGGTGCGGCAACCGAGGGTGAGGCGCAGTGTACTCCCGCATGACATCCCACCGGGTTCCGTATTCCACGAAATGCCATTGACATTACCACACTTCAAATGCGCGCCACACCTGAAGGGACAAGACGCCAGCGGTTTTGCGCGCGCGCGCATTGCACTAGTGGAAGAGATTATTGTGACCAGTTAACTGCTCATCGATTGAGAATATATGGATTGCAGTACCCGTGGGCCACTGTTAAGCCTTCTTAGCATCTATTATCGGGTAGAGAAGCACGGTTAATAGGAATTGGGGTACAGAAAGCAAGCAGACGGGCGATGGAGGACGCAGGAGAAAACGGGGAACGGGGAGAAATCACGTGAGTGGCTTAGGGCGGGTAGGTAGGTAGGTAGGTATATTTCCGGCGCGGTCCCCTTGGAAACGCATGATCCGTCTCCGCTCTCCGAGTTGTCGTCAAGGAGTCTCAACCATTCCGTCCACCCATAGGATTGTGTTCCTTGTACTTGGAACTTGGAAACGTTCCCGAATAGACGAAATTTAGATGAACCGATGACTAGCTCGGTTGGTGAGAGCATAACGTGCTCCGCAGCCCTGCCGGGACGCTGCGGCTCGAGAGCTGCTCGTCATCGTCTAGGCTCGGTGGATGGCACCCAAAGCATTCTTGGCACCGTTGCTGATAATTGCCGGCTTTACTGAGCTTGTTGCACGACGAGGATGAAACGCATTTCTGATCTACACCCCGCATTTCGATAGAGGTGCTTCCCAGCGTACTTACCCTCGGACTGTACATCCACGAACTCGAATGGCGTTCACTGACCTCTAGGCCTACCGGGATCTACTGGCGCTGCTTGGCATTGGCTGTCGACCGTGGTGAGTGTGTCTGCCTGCCTTTTCGAGACCATGTCATTACTTCCTAATCAGGTCATGTCGCAGGTCCATCATCGTCTTTTACCAACCTCGATCATCCCAGCCATAGCTCTCTCATCATGATTTTTGATGCATCTCACCGAAGAAACCAGATTGAAGGCGATCGTGATCCAGTTCGGACGATGCAAGTCGTGTGAGCCCGACATACGATCCCGTCGCATGCTCCTACAGGCTCCCTCACAGTTATCTACTCAACCTTCGGCTTCTTTGCAGCCTAAATCGGGAGGATTCTTGTTCTTCTCTATCAAGATCGCACGAGCCTCCCCCTTGGTTCCAGCTCGGTCATTCAAGCTATCGTGCCAAGCACTGTTGTATGCCGAGGACCGGAAGCTCCCTATGAATGCCGCTGTAACATGTATTACCCATGAACCATACTTACTCATAACCTCGACAATGGGACATGCAAGACTGCAACGCCAGATGGCCGATACTCGCTCAACACAATCGAGACACGCTGGAATACTCGCAGGGCGGCATCCCTTGACCGACGATCGCAATTATGCGACCCTGGCCTACACTAGCAGGGCTGGGTTCGAAACGGGTAAAACATACCTCGACGTATGTTGATGATCCACGCCTGCTTGATTCTGTCTCAGTCAAATTCGCCGTGCCGTGCATTTTCGAATTCGATCGTCGAACCGATGGTTCTCCGGGTCATGCCGTCCTTCCGCTCATGCACCGCAAAGTGGGTCCCTGTGTTGTTTCTGGTTCAGCAGCGCTACCGCTCCTGCACCGCACCGGGAATCATCCCGGCAACCTTGTGACAGGCTTACGGGCTTACAGAATGGGTTGGCCTCGATTAAATGAATGTAGCAAACCTCGATCGAACGCACGAACAACGAGATCTCGTTCCCGACAAATTGTTTTGTCGCCTTCCTCGGCGTCGCTATTGAAACGTCGCTCAGGTGAGCCTACACTCTCCCCATCCGATATACGTCCCTTCTCTTGATGATGATTCGTGAAACATGACAGGCAAAACATCGCCCGCCCAGCCCATCGATCCCTCGTCGTCGCCCTCCCTCTCGAGGTATAAAAGATGGCGTGCTCGCACTCAATTCTTCAGCAAGTAGCACTCGAGCTCTTCATCTCATCTGCACACTCGCACCACTTAATCCTCTTCCACTCTCACAATCGCAATAAAGATGCAGTTCAAGACCGCCCTCCTCTTCGCGACCTCGTCGCTCGCTCTCCTCGCCACCGCGAGCCCCGGCCCCCTCGCCGCTCGCCAGACTGGCTGCGACACTGGCCCTGTTCAATGCTGCGACTCCGTCCAGAGCTCGTCTGACCCCGTCACTTCGCTCCTCCTTGGTCTCCTCGGCATTGTTGCCGGCGGTGAGTATCCCACACAATATCCGGATGCCGCAACGTCAACGTTAGCGCTGATGCCCTTCTCGCTTTGTCTAGGCGTCGACGTCCCCATCGGTGTGAACTGCAGCCCGATCACCGGCATCGGTCTCGGCGGCAACAGCTGCAGCGCCTCCCCCGTCTGCTGCACCAACACCAACAACGGTACGCACGCTTCTCCTGCGCTCTTTTTGTATCCTAGCTCACTCGATCCTCTCCCTCGTAGCCTCTGGTGTTCTCTCCGGTCTCATCGGCATCGGCTGTGTCCCCGTTGACATCAGCCTCTAAGTGCGCACGACGCCGTATCGGCTCGAAGCCTTGCGTTTCTCGCCTCGAGCCCCCCAAGACGCTCGGCAACAACGGGCTTTCTCCTGCCATGTATACCCCCCCCCCCTCCAGGGCCGAAGTAACTGCTAGTTGTGATTGTAGAGTGTCGTTCCTTTCTACGCACGTCTAACGTGCCGCTTAACATCATTTTGCACACCGCACAACCACCCCATTCACTCGTTCACACAAGTTTATTAGTTTGTAATAGCGCAATGTTAGTCGTTGTCTGAATAAAATCGCATATCTAGCATCATATTGGGCTCCACGCGCTGATTGCGCTAAGGCTACATCGATGACATTCGCTTTCTTTGATAAATTGCGACTGCTATACCTTGCAATGTCTCACTCTCAAGAGGAGGAGCTCGTGCTTCAACAAACATATGTCTGTAAAAGGCAATGACGTCCGGAGTGCTTCTGAGAGGAAGGGATGTCCGATTGGATTTAGATAAAATCACTTCGAGCTGTAGAGTACATGCCTGGTTCAGGGACTCGCTAGGCCTTCTTCAGCATACGTATGGTAAAATGATGCATGATGTCTCACACGAAAGCGGCATCCTAAATTAGCAGACGGTTGGAAGATTCGGGCATTTCCGCTGAGCTTGAATCACCAGGAAGAAAGTCTCACGGCTCTTCCTCTCAACTTCACTCGAGCCGGCTGCGCTGCCGTGATGCAAAACCGCCTTATTACCACCTCAGGTTACCTTTTCCACCCCCTAATTACACTTAATTCGGTCACAAAAATATGTACCTAGTGAGGCCTGCTGGACAATGGACAGGTCCTACGAAAATGGCCAGCGCCACTGCTGGGCAGCATCTGGACCGTTCCAAGGTGTCCAGCAATTGTCCAGTCATATTCAGCCCTGTATGAATTGTCCAGCTGGCAGAGAGTGGATAATCCTGCTTGGAGTGAGGTATAAATAGCACATATAAAGCCATGTTAGGGTGGCTGGGGTCCCAAACTTAAAAAAAAAAGTTTTTTTTGGGGCCTTGCAACGCATGAGCAGGGCTATATTCTTGGCAACTAGGCCAGGTTTCTTCCATCATATTTCTGCA